TACGCGCGACGACATTCGTACGATAACTGAGCGTTTTTTTCCGTCACCGTGTGTTGTTATTATTGTTATTGTTGTTGTTTTGGTTGTTGTTATTGTTTATGTTTAATGTGATGTTGTTGTTGTGTTTGTGTTGATACGTTCGATGCTCTGCTTAACTCGGCCCAGGTTTTCTTTATCATTTTTTCTGTTCTAAACCACTCCTACGACGATTGGGTAAAAAAAAAAAAAAAAAATTTCTCTGCGCAAACTCAAATTTTTGTGTGTTTACAAAATCGAACGGCGGCAAATTTTTCCCCCACGGTTTTATAAAAATTCAAAACTTTTACCCGCGTTAAAAAATTATTTATTTATTTATTTTTTTCTTAAATTTACGTTTGTAAAAAAATGGGGAATCCCTCCCTTCTCTTGTTTTTTGTTTACGTTCGAATGAAAAACAAGTCGCGGAGGTTTTTAAATGGTAATGATTGGGTGTTGAAAAGGGAGCACAGGGAAAATTTGACATTTAAATCGAAATGACGCACGTGTTAAAACGTGTAATAAAATCGGGTAGGAAGAAGAAAAAATGCGCGCCATTTTTTTCGAAAATGATGATAAAACAGTTTTACAAAAAAAAATAAAAAAAATTTTCATTCATTGATTTTGTTTTTTGTTTTTCCTGCGTCAAGATTTACGATGTTATCCGTTGTATAAAATGTGTTTTCGTTCACAAAAAAAAAAAACCGCCAAAAAAATTAAAAAAAATTTTTTTTTTTCGGAATGAATTTGTGATGACGTTTAATGATTTTCATTATTTCCGGTTTTTCATTGTATCCACACACACACTCGAAGGTTTTTTTCCAAACTTTTCTTTTTTTTTGAAAAAAAATTATGTCGTCGTCGTGTTTGCTGTTGCGTTTAATAATAAACTCTGTTTAAAAGTGAAAGTAAAAACAAAACTTTCTAAATTTTCTTTATTAGAAAACAACAAACTGATGAGAAGGTGCGTGTGCGTGCGCGTGCGCGTGTTTTAAGGTTAATGTAAAACAAACATAAATTTTGTTGTTTCTAAAAGAAAACAAAAACAGTAATTGTATCAAATTCAAAATTTTATTTTTATTTTTTTTTTTATACCATAAGAATATAAAAAAATATTTTTTTCCGACTACTAAAAATTCTATAAGAAAGAATAATAATAATAATGATAATAATAATAATAATTGTACTTTTACTTTTGGTTTTTGGTTAAAAATGAAAATTTTGTCGGCGTTAACGTAAAAAAAAAAAACAAACGATCAAACGTACAACGTTTTATAACATTATTAATTATTATTATTATTATTATTATTATTATTATTATTATTATTATTATTATTATTATTATTATTATTATTATTATTATTATTGCTATTGATGTAACGCGAAATAATAATAATAATAATATGACCAATCGGTTTTTTTAAATTTATTTATTAATTTATTTATTTATCGATTGCGATTAAAACATAGAGAACCGTAAAATAAAAAAAAATAATAATAAGTAAATGTGGCGTTTATTATTATTATTATTATTATTATTATTATTATTATGTTTTTAACGATGTATGTTTTTTATGTTGCATAACTTTTCAAATTACAAAACAAGAACAACAACAACAAAAATAATTAAAAGGGATTTCCGGTTTTAGAAAATTCTTAAAAAAAAAACTATTGGGAAAATTAAATTAAAGTTTGAAAAAAGTTAAAGCGAACGAATAAAGTTTCTCTTTCTCCAGTTTATGGATAAATAATAATAATAATAATAATAATAATAATAATAATTTGTTTTGTTTCAATTTCGGGTCCGTGAATTGCGAAAAACAAAAAATTACGTAAAAATATATTCGAATGATTGAATATTCTAGAAAAAAAAAAAAAAAAAAACAAAAGTAATTATTTGTAATGATATAATAATCGTAGACTGACTGGAATGTTTTAAATTTAAAAAAAATGTCAAGACGATTTGGAAATAGTTTTTCTCATTAACCGACAAAAAAAAATTCTAGAATGATCGATCGCGTTACGATTCGTTTAAATATTTTGTTATGTATGACCAGTTGTTGTTGTTGTTGTTGTTGTTGCTGTTGTTGTTGTTGTTGTTGTTGTCGTTGTTGCTGTTGTTGTTGTTGTTGTTGTTGTTGCTGTTGTTGTTAAATTGTAACACATTTTAGGAAAAATTTTTTTTTTTAAATTTCCTTTCCAGCAACAGCAGCTATGTTTTGGATGTTTAGTTTTATTTTACATACATAATTATATTCATAATCGATAATTTAATATGCGACGTCACGAAATTAATACGAGTTCGTTAACTTGCGGAAACCATGTCCGTTCGAATCGAATGACTAAAAAACATTTTTTTTTTTTTTTTTCATTTTTATTTTCGTCGGTCTTATACGTAGATATACACCTTTTGTCCGTTCAATAGCCTTTTAAAAATGTTGCGAGTCCGATGGTTATCGAATCCTTTTTTTTGTTTTTAATGAAAAAAACAACCTTTCGTGTTTTGTTTTCTAAACCTTTTTTTTTTTTTTACCCTTTTCATTTTCTCGATGGTTAGTCTTTAATAAAAAAATTCCGTTCGTTCGTTCGCTTGATAAAATTTCCCTTTTTTTTATATTAAATTACGTAAGGATTGATATTATTATTATTATTATTATTTAAATAAAATGAAAAAAATGAAGATTAAATTGTGTGTGTGTGTGTGTGTGCGTGTGCTCGTTCGTGAAAGCAAAAGGGAAAAAAAAAAAAAAAAGATTTCGGTCGTGTCACTAAGTCTCGATCTTCGTGATTGTGTCCGAGAATATTTTTAAAGGATTATTATTATTATTATTATTATTATTATCATTATTAATATCGCTTTTCTTTTTTTTTTTTTTTCGTTTCCTTTTTGATAAAAGATATATATATTTATATAAAAGTTTTAAATTCTTCTTTTTCTTCTTCCTTTTACTTTTATTAAAAAAAAAATTTGTCTTTTTTTTGTTGATATTAATGGAAAAGATTTATTTGCTGATTCCTTTTCAAAAAATATTATTATTATTATTATTATTTTTTGTCAGTCGATGAGTAATGAGAGAGAGAAAAAAATAAAAAATATTCGAGTTAATAGGAGAGAGTGAGAGAGAGAGTATATTAGAATTTTTTTTTTTTATTTGTGTGCGTTTGTGCGTGCTTGTATGCGTTTCTAATGTTTTCCAGGCGTCGACTCGGCGTGATTTTAAATTTTAACGCGTCACTTTTGACGTGGAACAAAAAAGAAAAAAAGACATTGTTCTTTTTTTTTTTTTTTTCCTACCACGTCATCAAAAGGTGGTTTTTAAATTTTAAATGTCTCAGGTAATTGTCAGGTAGCTTGTCATAATAATGATAATAGGTTTTTTTTTTTTTGCAAAAGTTCAAATGGGTGGGGATGGTCGAGCATTCTTGTCGGAAGTTTTCTTTTATTTGGGGTTGTTGTCGTTTGGAGTCGATGAGTCGAATGATGACAGGAAAAGAAAATGAAAATAAATGTGTGGGAAAACGAGAGAGAGAGAGAGAAAGGAAATAAAAGACTTTTTTTCAGGAAATGAATCGGGTGGCGGTCGGATAGAATATCGAATGTTAGGTACGAACACGTAACGAAATCACCGCCGGCAACGGAGATAAAGCAAGCAATAAAGACCCTCTCACGCACGATATTAAAACGGATTTAAAAATTTTGTTTTGTCGTGAAAGGAAAGGGTTATTTCTCTTTTTATTCTAGAGTTTCCGGTTTAACGATAATTAATCATTCCTATTAATATCCATTCTTACAAAAAAAAAAAAACAACGTCACGTGACCGTCTGTCTGTTCGATTCGAAAAAATCCAAATTTTCGTAAACAAATCTCGGGTGTTCTTTTGCCCCATCATCATCATCATCATCAGCATTAATCCGCGAATATCGATTTATTGATATCCGATAATAATTGGACATTGGTTTTCCATGCGATTTGAATTTATGCCCCCCTCTCCCCCTCTTTTCGCGGTACGCAAATTTTTTTTATTCGAAATGAGGTGAATTTAAGTGCCTGAAAACGTTCCGCCATTTTAAATTTTTTTTTTTTTTGTAATTTAATTATCAAGTCACGACGATTCCAGTAAAAAAAAACTATGGAAAATCTCAAAAATAAAGTGAGAGAGAGAGAGAGAGAGAAAGAGAGAGAGAGAGAGAGAGAAAGAGAGAGAGAGAGGGGGGGAAGACACGAAGTCAAGTAGTTTGAAGCTGTGCTTGATTGATAAGATTCAATAAATCTTTGAATCTCATTTTAACTTAACTCGAGCTTATTGTAAATTGTTTTTGTTTCGTGGGGAGGCGGGGAGGGGGTAGGGGGGTAGGAGAAGGGGAAGATGGTTAAAAAACAACAATATTTTAAGAGAAGCAATATTTTTTTTTTTTTTTTAAACAATAAGAAAATCAGATTTAAAATAACTGAAAACAAAAAAAAAAAAATGAAAATTTAACATTTTTTGATTTCATTGTGCAAATTTCGTCACGAAAAAGTTTTCCTTGTTTTTTTTTTGTTTTTCATTATTATTATTATTAACTTATTGTAGTAATCTATTATGGGCGTGTGCGTGTGCGTATGCGTTTGAACGTTTTTACTGTTATTATTATTAGTATTATTATTTTTTATTTCCAACCTTTTTTTTTTCTTCTTTTATTGCCTTTTATTATTATCATCATTTATCTGTCATTAAACGACACGTTTTGTTTATTTTTATTCCCAATAAGGGAAAATAATAATAATAATAATAAAGGGAAATAATTTCGCAAAAATCAAATATATATATATAACCTTAACGATTATTTTTATTAACGGTTTCGTTACGAAATTTAATTAATAATAATAATAATAATTTAATTTTTAATGGTTTATTGTTTTGTTTTGTAGATATTGTGATGGTGACGGTGGTGGTGGTGACGCGAGCAAAAGAAAAGAAATAATCGATTGGGATGATTATTTTATGGCAAACGCGTTTTTAGCCGCGAAAAGAAGTAAAGATCCTTCGACGCAAGTTGGGGCTTGCATAGTTGATGACGATAAAAAAATCGTCGGGATCGGTTATAACGGTTTTCCGATCGGATGCGACGACGATGATTTTCCATGGACGAAAAATTCGGATTCGCCATTGGAAAATAAACATTTTTACGGTAGGGATACAACAAAATACTCCAGCAATCTTTTTTTTTTTTTTTTCGTTAAAAATTTAATTTTCCATTTTTTTTGCAGTTTGTCACGCGGAAATGAACGCGATACTAAATAAAAACAGCGCAAATATAAAAGGTTCGAAAATTTACGTCGTTTTGTTTCCATGTAACGAATGCGCTAAATTTATAATACAGTCCGGAATCAAAGAAGTTATTTACATGAGCGACAAACATCACGAACGTCTACAAACTATGGCGGCTAAAAAAATGTTTGCTGCCGCCGGCATAACTTGCAGGTATTTAAAAAATAATTATTTTTTTTCGTCGTCGACGACGACGCTGACGTCGCCGTCATCGCCGTCATCGCCGGGGATGACGATGGTCAATTGGGTTTTAATTTACCGGAATCAATTTTTTATCGTTTTTTTTTGTAAAACGTCCGCCCAAAATCATCCGACGGGGGAAAAAATTTCCTGCGGTTTATTTTATTTTATTTTTTATCTTTTTCCAACACGTTCGCCGTTCACATAAATTTATTTGACGTTCGAGTAAAATTTAGGCGGCGGCATTTTTTTTTGATAAGTTATCGTCGAACGGATTCGAGTCTTGGGTGATTTTTCTCTCTTTTTTTTTTTTCTTTTTTTTTTTATAGGAAATTCGTACCGAAAAAGAAAATCATAGTGATCGATTTTGATGAGATCGATACTGATTTTAGAGAAAAATCACCTCAACGTCGTAATTGTGGAAACGTCAATGGAAAAATCAATTAATTGATATTTTTTAAAATTTTATGTTTAAACGTTTTTAAAATTTTTTTTATTTTAAAATAGTAACGAATCAAAAATAATCATTATTATTATTATCATAATCAAATAATAGTTAAAGTATAGTAATAATCATAATAATAATAATAACGAATAATTATTAGCTTACGTATTACCGTAATTCAATGGGTTGTTTGTTTGTGTTTTTCGGAAAAAATTTTTACGTCACGTTCGTCGCCATTACTTTTTTTTTTTTTTGTGTTTTTTTAAAAAAGACGACACGTTCCCGAATGATGATGACGAGATTTAATTATCGGGGATGGACGTAGAGATGATATGCCAGATGCGTGATCGGAGTGACTTTGTTGTGATTTTTTCGAACGGTGACTCAAATTTCCCTCGGAAAGTGACGTAGGAGGAGGTCGCGTGATGTTTTCTTACGAGAGAAAGAGAGAGAGAGAGAGAAAAAAAAAATTATAATTTTTTTTTCTAAGATAATTTAATTGGAATGAATGTCGCGCATCGTGACAACGATAGATACTTTTGTTCTGTAGTTAATTTTATGTAGAGAATGTTTATGTTTTGTTTCGCCTTTCCTTTTGTTTTTTGTTTTTTGTGAATAAAGTTTTCGACAATAAATTAAATTATTTTAAAAGTTATGCAAAATAATAATAATAATAATAATAATTACCTTTGTATAATATTTGTGGAAGTCTGTTAAGCTCTTGTCTGATTAAATATGGATTCGAATTTAGCTGTTCCGTTTCGTCAATTTCCGTTTCGTTCGGTTCGGGAGAATTCAAAGTAGAAGGGGTTGATGATGCAAAAGCAACGGCTTCGAGTGCTTCTAATGTTTTAGCTTTAGAATTTATTATTTCCGTTGCTTCTTTTGCGTAAATATCTGATTCGTCGTCTTCTCTTTTTCTACTGCTCGAAATTTCGGTTATCGGTAACGGGAGCAAACTCGCTCCCATAGAATTCGAACGAGACACTGTAAAAAAAATTTACAAGAAGAATTTTTTGAAACGCGAAAAAGGATTCGTGAGTTTAAGGTTTGTGCGTAAGGTTGTACCTGTCGTTTTTATGGGTGAATTTCCTATCGATCTCCGTGCTATGTCTTGAAAAGTCACGGGAGAATAAACTCTCCTGTTTTCTACCGAAATTCCAGAACCTTTTTTTTCTTCTTGTTCTAATCTGAAACCTAATGTCGAACCTTTGACGATTCTATTTCTGTCTTCGTCGTCCAACGTGACCAAACCCATCATCGATCCTCTTAAATCTGCTGATTTTTCCCATTCCGTTTCAACTCCTTTCGTTGCAATGGATCTGCTTAAAGGAGTCCTGCATTCTCTTTTATTCAGCCAGTACGTTTTTGTAGCTCCTTTTTTTTGTGCCCCGGGGAAAAAAAAAAAATTATTCCGAATTTTTTTTAGAATTCGTGGCAAGGTCATTGCGATACCTTTTCCTTTCAGCTGTATTTCTCCTCTTTCGGTAACTTCGTACACATTTGAAATTAAATCGCGCGTGGATTGACTTATGTGAATTTTCATAGCTTCGCTCGTGGATTCCATTCTCGATGCGGTGTTGACGGTGTCACCGAAGAGGCAATAACGTGGCATTTTTAAACCCACGATACCGGCCACCACAGCACCCGAATGTATGCCAACGCGAATTTGCAAGTGAGAACCCGTCGAAGGATCCTTAAGATCCGTTATCGCTTCCACCATATCCAATGCCATGTCACAAACTTTTTCCGCGTGATTGAGTTCTTTTTCGGGAGCTCCCGACACGACCATATAAGCATCACCTATAGTTTCTACCTGCGTGAATACAAACGATGACGATAACATAACAAAAAAAAAAAAAAAAAGACTCAAACTGCGAAAGGATGACTGACTGGTGGATTTATTTACTACTCATCGTGCAAGACTACATGACGGGTAAACGAAAGAACGAGTGTAAAATGCAATCCTAAAGTGAAAAAAAAAACATAAAATTAGTACCAATAAATAATTTCCTACTTTATACACCCTGTTTCGTTCCGTGAGGGTGTCAAATATCGAATACATGGCGTTAAGCATTGACACAACCTCCATGGGTGCTATTCGAGAACATATTTCGGTGAAGGAAACCACATCCGAGAAAAGAATCGAAACGCTGTTGAATATCTGAAGACGAAAAAAAAAAAACAATTTTTTTTTTTTTTGATAAATTAATATTTAATTATTTAATGATCGGTGTGCTTGTGCGTGCGTGCGTGCGTGTGCGTGCGCGTGCAACGACCCAACACACCTGACACGTGTCAATTGGATTTTCTCCAGCTCTTAAACGATCCGCAACTTGTTTGGGTATCATTTGATAAAGTAATTCATCCGTTCTTTTCATTTCTTCGTCGAGTTTTCTCATTGATTCTTCCAATTTTTTAGATTTAGATTGTTCCTGATCCAGAGCCAATTTTAATTCCACGGATTGTTGCGTTCCAGCCAACATCAAATCTCTATAGATATATAAATAAAAACACATTAGAGAAGGGACTAACATTCCTCCATCGTTCCAGGCGCGTTCCAGAGGGGCGGCGGTGGGCGGTTTCAAATTTTTTTTGGTGTGTGTTACCTGCTGAAATCGTGCATGGACAAATCGTTTATATAAAGGCCGGTTGTGACGAGAGCGTTTAAATCTGGCATGACAGGCGTACCTAAATACATCATCATTTTCCAATTATCCATGTAAACCATTTGCCCTTTGAGCCTTAAATGTTTTTCGTTTGGTGAATCGTCGGATTCGTCGCTCAATATTAAATAATTTCGCTTTCTATCCGTCGGCCTTTCCGTTAATACAGGTTCGACGGTAACGAGTTCGAAAATGTTGTTTGTACGATTTAATATCTTTAAAAAAATAATAATGATGATAATGATAATTTTTTTTCTCCCTTTCTTATCGTTTATCAATTTTCGTTTACCGTTTGAAATTTAAATGCTATGAGTGGTCTTACTAAATCGAACCAATTCGTTATTTTTTTAGATACCAAATCTGGTAAAATGACCATCAATGAATTTCCGATACTTCTTACGATCATGTCTGATCTGAAATCGAAAGTAATAATAATAATAATGAAAATGGTGGGCGTAGTTGATAAAAAAAAAAAAAACATCAAAAGATGTTTTCAATGATGTAAAAAATGAGGGGCAAAGGCGGGGCAAAAAGTTAGAAAATTTTATTCCTCGTACTTAAATTTTACGAGTTTGATTTTTATTTTTTTTTTTGGGGTGGTGTTGGTAGTGCCGTTTAAACCCCCTCCTCCACCCCCGCCCCCCGATCGTTTTTCTGTTTCATTCTCACCCGAAAACGATGCAAAATGGAAATATTTCAAATAAAACTGATGCGCTTATCGGAAGGTGTTTTTCTTCTCTCGTCATCGTCAGTGATGCCAACGTGAAAGCTCTATTATCGAAAGTCAATTGGAATGTCACGTGAACCGTGTCGAAAAGTATTTCTTCTCTCACCAATTCTATTCTCATTTCTTTGTGATAAAAATGTCTCGCTACCTGAAAGGAAAAATTAACTAACGATGACGAAATGATGATATTACCAATGACGACCGTTACGGACAGGTGGGAAGGCGGGGAGGAGGAGTTGGGAGTGGGAGAAAAGAGGAAATATCACGTATTATTACGTAATTTTTTACTTCTCTTATTTGTCCCATTGTGTAATAAACGAATCCTCTCCTTTTGCTCCTGTAGTGAAGAGTCAAACCTTGTCTCGTTTCGTTTTCGCATATGAACGACGGTGCTCTCATTCTCGGATATGAAAATTTCAAATATTCGTGTAAGTTGTCTAAACCGTTTAGAAAATCTCTCATGTGTCGTCCGAGTACGGAAAGTACGCGATCGTAGCCATATTGTCCGACGAAACCGACGAAATGTACTCCCATTTGATCGAAAAATTCACGTTCGGACACGTTGAGTACCTTCAAAAAAAAGGTCACATACACACACACTCGCGATACGATATAAATTTTATCGGTCGTAAAAAAAAAAAGCGTAAATAATAATAATAATAATAATAATAATAATAATAATAATAATAATAAAAGTAATAATAACAACCTGTATGGCTTTTTTTGCGAGTCTCGGTATGAGTGTTTCCGGATAAACTTGATGAACGCTAAAACTCGGTTGTTCGACAGATGCCAACCTTCGTATTTCTTCCCATCTTTCTTCTCCATAAACTTGCTTTATGTATTCTGCTAAATTTTCCAGTAGTAATCCATACATTTTTTTTTTAAATTATTTCATTTCAAAAAAACAAAAAAAACAAAATCACGACATTGTTTTTTTAATCTGAAAAAAAAAAAAAAAAAACGCGGAGGAAAACAAAACAAAAAGAAAAAGTTGTGCGAATATTTTCTATACGAAACGTAAATTTTAATTATTATTATTATTATTATTATTATTATTATTATTATTATTACTTTTTATTGTTAGAAACGACGTGGAAAACTTTGTCGTACGCGTCGCGCGTCGTTATACTTACGTCGTCGTCGTTGTCGTCGTCAGTTAACTTTTTGCCAACTCAATTAAAAATCACGTAATTATTATCATTATCATTATTATTATTATTATTATTATTAACAAAACATGTGCGAATTTCATTCGTGCGAAATGACGCTCGTGGAAAAAGGAAGGGGATCGACGAGTGCGTTTTCACTGTTAAAAATTTTTTTTTTTTTTTTTGGTTTATTCATTTATTTATTAATAAAAAAAAAAGAAAAATCTGGAAAATGAATAAAAAAAATTTTTGGAAAATGCCCAGGGAGGGAGGGAATGGGGAGAGGTGGAGGGGGTAAAGGAGCACACATGGAATGTTGTGATGCGTTTGGTATCGATTGCCAGATTTCAGCCTGGAATTTATTTATTTATATATATGAAATAAAATAAACTTCAATTTATGATAATGAAAATAAATGATTATTATTATCATTATTATTATTATCATTATTCTGGAGAAGGGAGAAAAAAAACGAAAAAAAACGAAAATTTCGGTTTTCGAATAAATTTTCCTTTCTTATTCTTATACGTCGTGTTGTTTTTGTGCTGTGTGGACAATATAATTTTGGAGTCGGATTTGGAAATTCCCTTCCTCCCTCTCTCCTCCCTCAATCCTTTTTCCTCCACTCCCTTCTCCTCCTCTCCTTTCAAGGCTTATTTCCTTCCTCCCGTTTTTTCCTACATAAATATTTTTTTTCCTTCGTTTTTTTTTTTGTTTTTTTGTTTTTGAAAGAAGAAAAAAAGTCGGGGAGGTGGAAAGGAAAATCGGGCTGTGGCAGTGGCGGCGGTAAGGGGAGGGGGAGGAGAGGGGAGCGAGGGGCGGTAGTAGTTACGAAGTAAATTATTATTTAATTCAAAAAAAAAAAAACCGAAGAGAATGGGGGGGTATGGGTATAGGTACGTGAATCGGGTGATGGTTTTTTACGTGCATCCTAAATTTTAATAATAATTTAATTAATCGACTGGAGAAAAGTATCATTATTATTATTATTATTATTATTATTATTATTATCATTATTATTATTATTATTATTATTATTATCATTATTATTATTATTATCATTATCATTTCATGTATTTGGGTCCGAACGTTTTAAATTTGTTTTTTACGTAAAATTTAATTAAAGTGAAACGTTGAACAGGTAGCTGACGAGTACCAACCGTACAGTATATAACGTTCATAATGATAACTTTAAAACCGTTACAGTGATCTAATATCTGGACAATAAATCATCATCATCATCATCATCATTATTATTATTATTATTATTATTACTATTCAATTTAAAATTAAAAATTGGATCGTGATTTTTTTCTCCAGTTTTTTCATGCTGTTACATTTACACGGTTGTCATCGTCATCATCATCATCATCATCATTATTACCGTTATTATTGTTTTTTGGCCAATGATTACGTCAATAAGGTATTGTTGCGTTTGCCGCGTTATGTATTTTAATAATAATAATAATGATGATGATGATGATGATGATGATGATAAATTCGTGTTATTATTTCGGGTCGGAAAATGATTTTTTTTGAAATTTTTTTGATTTTGAATCGCCGTATAACAACATAAGTTTATTATTTTCGTTTTGTAAAAATTGTAAAATCAATCAATCAATCAATCAATCACTCCATGATGATGATGATAATTGAACGAATCGATTCGTAAAATGATGATGATGATATTCCATTAAATTTGTCGTCGTCGTCCTCGTCGTCGTCGTTAAAAGACGAGTGATAATAAACACCCGATAATAAAAGGATTCTCTTATCAATTCTCTTATCAAGACCCCTTCGTCAGCCCCCAATGAGGGATGGGGAGGGAGGGAAGGAGGTGGAGGGGGTTGGAAAAAAAAAATTTTTGTCTTCTTCTTCTTCTTCTTCGTTTTCTTTTATTAAAATAAAAAGAGTTTGAAGGAAACGTTACAGCTGTTATAAAAAAAGAAAAATTTAATTCTCCCCGTCTGACACACGAAAGATAATTTTTTTTAAATGACAAGCAAGTTTTAACGGATAATTTTGGACTTAATATTTTCGAAAAAATAAAAGAGAGAGAGAGAGACAGATAGATAGAGAGAGAGAAAAAGAGAGAGAGAGAAAGAGAGGAAAATAAGTTTTTTTTTTATTAATACAAAGTCTTGAATTATAAAAAAAAATTTTCGTGCGTTAAACCATCGGAAAAACTTTTAATTTAATTTAATTTATTTATTATTTATTTATTTATTTGTTAATAATAATGATGATGATGATGATGATGATGATGATGATGATAAATTACATAAATCTGTGTTAATGATGATAAAAATTTCTAAACATTTTCCCAAACGCATTATAAATCATTAAAAAATGACTGATATATGGGAAAAGAAAAGGAAAAAAATGAGAAAACGTGGAAAAAAATGAAATTCAATTGAAAAAAAAAAAAAATATAACGATGATAATGATAATGATAAAAAAAAGTACACGTGGTGCATCGAGAAGAAGATTTTGTTTTAAGGAAGGGGGAGAGGGGGAAAAAAAAAATTTATCCCAAAGGATAAAAAAAGATCTTTTTTCTTTTTCATCCCGAACGAATTTTATTTTTCAAACGATTTCATTACATTATGATGACTTGTCGTGATGATAATTAATTAAAGAGTAAGAGAGAGAGAGAGAGAGGAAATAAAATTATTAACCGGAAATAGAAAAGAGTGAGAGAGAGAGAGAAAAACAAACCCGGTAACAAATATTACGTAAAATTTTAAAAACGTGAAAGCGAATTAATTTACTTTCGCAAATAAAAAAATCTGGATAAAAAAAAAAAAATTATTTATTTTATTATTATTATTATTATTATTAATAATTTTCTTTTTTTCGGTTAATAATATTTGATTTGATAAAAATTAATTAATTAATTAATAACGATTTATTGATTGTTAATAATAGTTTAATTAATTAATAATATCTTTTGGCACGAGTGATATGTACGTCCGACATTTCACTTTATTTTTTTATTGTTAATTACGTCAATTAAATTTTGTCGGTCTGTCGGGGAAAAAGTTAAAAGCAACAGCAGCTAAAAAAAAAGGATAGCTTTTCCTACATGAGGAAGAAGAAAAGAGAGAGAGAGAGAGAGAGAAAGGGTTGAAAAAAATATGAAACGAAATCCGACGACGGTAACGACGACGACAAAAGTTTAACGGATACTAAAATTTTTAAAAATTTAAATTTTTACATATATGTACATAGAAAATAAATAAATAAATAATAATAATAATAATAATAATAATTAATAATTAATAATAATCTTACCGGTATTTAATTAATTAAAATTTTTTAAAATTAATAATAAATTTAATTTATAATTATTTTGATGACGTCAACGTTTACGTAACAACGAAATATCGCGAAAAATTATCATCTTATTAAAACAAACAAACAAAAAAGAAAAAATGAAAAAAAAAGGTGAAAACAAACGGCAACAACAACGACAGCCTGTTGGAAATATATATTTTATAACAACAGAAACAACAACAAGAATGGGGAAAATTTACTGTTTAGTAGTAAAGTTTCAACTGCTGTGGAAAAAAAAAAGAAAAAAACTTTTCAACCCGCCAATTTTTCCTTATGGATAAAAATTTCGCAGTAAATGCGCAGAATCATTTTTTTTCTCTTCTTCTTCTTCATCTTCATCTTCATCTTCTTCTTCTTCCTCTTCTTTCTCTTCTTCTTGTTGCAGATTTTCATTTTCATTTTTTTTTTCGTATATATTAATTGAAATAAAAAAAAAAGTTTTCTTCTTCTCCTTCTTCTTCTTCCGATTATATGTCATTCACGTTTTCTTTTTTAATTTTCGCTACATAATTTTTCATTAGTTAGAGAAAATAAAAAAAAAAAAATTATAAAGGATGTGACGTCATTAAAAAAATTAGAAGAAGAAGAAGAAAAGGCGGTAAAAAGTTTTTTTTTTGCCAAGAATTTAATGAAAAAAATAAATAAATAAAATGGGTCGACGGATGGAAATGGCTGCGGCGGAAATGGTTACCGCGTTTATTAAAAACAAAAAAACAAAACGAAAAGGAAATGAAAAAAATTTTTTTAATGGCGAACGTTCTAATACGTTCGCCGAACGGTGACAACCATCGATGATGATGATGATGAACGTCGGATATGAGAAAAATATAAAATCGTACGTAAAACGATGTTTTTTTGTCAAATCGGTCACGTTAGAAAAAAGGAAAACATCGGGACATGACGAAGAAAAATGAAGGGAAAAGATAAGTAAGGTAATTCTCCAGAAGTTCCTGGAGAATTCAAACAAGTGATTTCGAAAAGGATTTCGACTGGAATTGTTTCTAATAGAAAAAAGAACCCTCGAGAAAGAAGATTCTACCCACGTTTTAGAAAAGGAGGAATGTTTTTAAAGAGATTTCCCCCCGCCCCCGCCGCCGCCCCGCCTCTTCCAAGATAAAAAAATCATCGTTCGCGAACGGGAAAATAATAATAATAATAATAAACGGGATGATGATTGATTTATATTAATAAATAAATAAATTATGGATGACATTAATTAATTAAAAAATTTTCTTTTTATTTTTGTTTACGTTTGATGACGTTTAAAATAAATAAATAGAAAAATTATATTTTTTTAATTAAGGATGTCGTGGCAGTAGATGATAGGTTTTCTTTTCACGCATCCGTTAATGTTTTATCATCATTATTATTATTATTAATATTATTTAAATGGCGATCGTATCAAATTCCAGTTTGCCAAAACGGTGTCGAAAAAAAAAAAAAAAAAAATTTCACTTCTATTCAGTCGTTTGCTACGTGCAAAATAAGTTTCTCTCTCTCTCACTCTCTCACACACACTCTCTCTCTCTCTCTCTTTTTTCTTAATGTTAGCAAATTTGGTGATGTGCGACGTGGTTCGTGGCAAAAAAAAGAAGAAGAAACGGCGACTTAAAAAAAATTTTGAAATTGTGTCAAAATAATAAAAATATATCATTTCTAGGTCGCCGTGTTTTCTTGTTTCTTTTTTTTTTTTCTTTTTTTGCTCTCTCTGGAGAATTGCCTCTTCCAGTTTTTAATAGCACTCTAAAGCTCGAATTATTATTATTATTATTTTTTTTTTATCATTTTATCTCTATTTGACTCGAGATTATTTTTCTAATTTAAAAAAAGAAAATTAATAATTTATTTTTTTTTTTTTTGCGTTGTCAAAAAAAAAGAAAAGAAAATCTGGAGAAAAAAAGAAAAAGAAAAAAGAATTTTGGAATAAACGTTTTTACGGGATCTATAAAACGCTGGAGAAGAAATTAAAAAAAAATTGTTTTTTTTTTTTTTTTTTTATTTCTTTTACAGTTTTAACGTTTAATTCCAGGTACGATCGGTGAAAATTTTCACAAATTTAGTTTTTCGTTCAGGTATAAGATGAGATTTTAATTACAATTTAAACCGATAGATTTCGCGGCAGTGTATTACGTTTAACGAAAATTTTATAAGAAAACTTTCAAGTCTCGACTTGATTTTTTTTTTTTTTCTAAAATAAGCAATATTATCATTATTATTATTATTATTATTATTATTGTTATTATTATTATTATCGTTATAAATTTTTAATCACGACGAGTTCCACGGTCGATTTCTATTCGATAGGAATAAATGGAATAAATATCGGTGCTGGTGTGTTTCATTTATAAAAATTTATTATTATTATTATTGTTTTTTTAAACGAATTATTCATCTCGTTATTCATTCATTCATTCAATCATTCATTTTCGAAGGGAGGGAACGAGGGTGGAAGTGGCAGAGGGATGATTAATATTTATTCATTCCAGATAAAACGATTTTCATAAAAAACGAATTAATGATTTTATTAATGTCGACGGGAAAGATTTGAAATTTTTATTTTTTTCTTTAAAAAAAAAAATTAATTTGTTTCCAGGGAACGAAAACGTTTTATTATTATTTTTTTTTTTTTCCCCGTTAATAAGTTCTGGAAAAGTTGGGTGTGACGTTTAAAATTATTCTTTTAAAAAGTTTCCAGTTGCGAAAAAAAGGAAAAGGAGTTATTATTAAAAACGACAACCCCGCGCGTTTGTTTCCTTCCTGGATAATTAAAAATTTATTTAAAGTTATAAAAACGATCGTAAAGGCGTGCCAACCTAAAAAAAAAACAAAAAAAAATTCGCGAAAATTAAAAAAAAAAAAAAATTTTTTTTTTTCCTTTCGCGTTCAACAACCTTTTCGAAATGTTGAATTCCACATCGCAGGTATACAAAAACAACCGGTCGGACGGTTTGTCGGTCGATTTATCACTTAATTATCATTGAATTATTCCCCTCCTCCACTTTCCCCTCCCTCTCTCCCTCCCCCCTTACCTCGCTCGCTCGGCTGGAATCCATTAAATTTTAATATTCCAGCAAAATTGTTTAAAAAAATAATTGCGAGAGAAAGAAAGAAAGAAATGTTTTCTTTTTTTTTTAACAAATTAAAACGACGACGACGTTTGTTGTTTGTTGTTTGTCATTTAAACAAACTTCTTTTTCTCTTTGATAAAAAAAAAAATTGAAAAACTGGAATAGAAAAACTGGAGAAAATTAAATTGAGGTCGCGAAAAATTACAAAAAAAAAAAAATTTTACTCTCGATTTGATAAAAATGTATTTAATTCATTTAAATAAAATATTTTATTATTATTATAAACGAAAAATTAATAATAATGATAATAATAATAATAATAATAATTGAAAAAAAAAAAAAACGGTTTTTAAAGTAAATCGATAAATCGAATTTTCCGTTCGGATAAAAATTTTTTACCGGTTTTTTAACGCGTACGTGATTCGTGATTCGATTTTATTCTAGAAATTTTTTCTTTTTTTGTTCACGGGGGGGCCGGGGGCTGGGATGGGGGAGGGGAAAAAAAGAATTTTCCAGAATTTTTTTTTTGTTTTCATTCATTCGTGAATTTATTATAATTCGTATAATAATCATCATCATTATTAATAATTCACCCTTTGT